AAAGGGTCACTGTGGTAAAAATGGTGAAGGCATTAGCAATTTTCCCCAAAGGCCTTTCTAATAAATCTCTGGTTCTCAAATCATTCTCTTCTGAAATATTTGTCATCAATCCTATAAATTTTCTATTATTTAACTGTTAACTGTTCTAAGTCTAAAAAATCTTTTATATCAATGTCATCTAACAAGGCAAGCAGTTTCCTATACTAATTTCATCAACTCAGGAAAAAAGGTATGTTTTGCCATATTTGCTAAAATTTCCTTATAAATTACTCTTTAGCATTTTAATTTCTATTCATAATAAAAAATACTTTATTTTCATTTTAAAAGTTGAAAAGGCAAAAATGAAATACTCATTATAATCCTACCTGTGTCTGTATTTCCTTGTACTTTCTCATCAGTTCTTTCATTTGCAGCTGACATTTTTCATATTCTACCTGCAACTGTGAAACATAAAAGGATTAATTTGATCATTCTGAATTATTTTCTTAGCTTGAATGACATTTCAAAATATTTAAAATTTTACACATCAATCCACTAAGAAGAGTAGATGAGGTCCACTTCTACTAACAAGTACTGAGTAAAATTACTAGCTTTTAAAGTCAGACCTATTTAATAATGTATGTTGTTTAGTTTTACATTCAATCCCCAATTCATATAAAGTAGAAAAAAAAATGTCTGATTTAAGTCTCAGCACACATTATGCAACATACAAAGTAACTTAGTAAAATCATGAAACAGATAAAAATGCTACATCACACTGATTGCCTGTTGAGATTCTACAAATTCAAACATTTCAATTTAGTCAAGCAAAATTGTAACTACATTTTGAAAAGCATTCAGAAAACTTTCTTCTTTAAACAAAGATCTGAAGGTGGAAACTGACTTAAATATTATTTTAGCCTAAAAGCTAGTTCTTAAATAACAAAATGTCTACTAAGCAGACATGTGCACCTCTGTAGCTATAAAAAGTATAACTGTCCTTAATAATTGTAGTAACCCATACATCATTATATGTTGCCTCCTTTGCAGTTCCTTCTTCAGTCAGGATCTCTTCATATAAATCCAAACAATTTCTGGATGGTACACAGGATTTGGGTGCAGTATCTAAAATAAACACACACCCTTACATTAAAATGTATTAGGATTTTTGATATTGTGTTTATCTCAAACGGTTCTATAATCTTACATCTAGAGCATTTTATCCAAATCTATACTGAATTCATAGATCAGAGCCGGAAGACCAGTTTACCTAAAATAGCTACATCAGCAAATCAGATGTAATGATCATGTTTGTTCAAAGTTTTGAAAGATTTGATTACGACAAAAGTTTCTAACTTAGATAGATTATTAGACTGCACACAACTTACTAATTCACTTGAAAATATTTATACTAATTACCATTTTCAAGGGAGCTCTGCTGGCATAATGCCTAAGGCATTTGACTGTTAACTGGAAGGCTGGCAGTTCAAACCCACCAGCCACTCCTCAGAAGGAAGGTTGGGCAATCTACTTCCATAGTGATACCACTTTGGAAACCCAAGGAGGGATGACAGTATGAACAGTAATATATGTACAAACTCTACAATTAGCTGCATTTCAACATTACAAAACATTTTTGCACAAGGTCAAATTAAATATGAGACATCGAAGAATAATCTGTGTGCTAATCTCTTTTACTACTCAACCTTTGGGGCAAGAAAATAACTTGACTTTCAGTCATTTCAAAGAACGGGCAAATTATTCAGTAGCTATGAGCTATTCTAGGAATAACTCATAATATACACTTACAGTAGATTGATCAAACAAAACGAAATTATTTTATAGAATCTACCTACCAGAAACAGCACTGTCCAAACCAGCATATATGTCCAAAGAGCCATCATCATTATTAAGAGGAGAAGCTGCAAAAAAAGCAAAAACCAGTTAAAACTGATTTTATACACACTTTGTGAAATGTTTTCAAACCTACTTTGAAGGCCCATGGAGAGAAAGACTTTCTCTTTCGCTCCAATAAAGAGAAATTTTTATGCATACTTTAGATAGGAAGACTTCAGCACAACGATTCACAATGCTATCACCTCAAAAATTTACTTTTGTTTAAAAAAACAAAAAAACTTTCAGAAACAAACCAGGAGTTTCTACTCTAATAATAACAGCAAAGCAGTTTCCATGAGACCAATTCTCCTGCAGATAAGAAGTATAAACATTAAGCAAAATATTAAAAGCTATCTAAGGAAATAGAGAGCAATAAAAAGCAGTTAGAAACTAAAGAGGAGTCAACACCTCAAAGAAGACAACACTGGGTGAGTTTCTATCTCCCTTTTTTTAATTACAGCTTTGTATAGAAAGACAGGACCTAGTTGGAGCCACATACAACAGTGCAAACTCAGATGGAAACATCCAGCCCTAATAGCTTTAACAACCAGAGCAAAGTCTTTGGGGTGATAAGAGCAACTAAAAAATAAGAGAGCCACTGAGAGGATTCTCCAAATTCTGACTGTATCTCTGTATGACCCTCAAATACACAAGAGTAGAATTTGCAAAAGCTCAGCTAAAGATTTCAACTACTATTCACTTATAGGGGAGATATAAGTTTGAATTCAGCGAAGATAAACACAAGCTAAAATTAAAAACAACACTCTTCTGAGGAATGAAACAGAATTTAATGTGATTGTACGACATTTACAATGTCTAGAACACAATCCAAAATTACTACACACATTAAAAAAAAAAGAAAAATGTAATTCATTATCAAGAGGAAAGAATACTAAACGAAGATTAAACCCAAGATGACCTAGAGTTTGGAATTAATAGGTTTTTGTTGTTTTTGCTTACAGCTTTAATGAGATATTAATTCACATACCATACAATTAACTCATTTAAAGTGCACAATTCAATGATTTTCAGTATAGAGCTCTACAATCACCACAATTAATTTTAGAACAATCCCATCACCCCAAAAGAAACCCAGGTCTCTATATGGATGGATAGATAGGTGGACAGGCTAAACAATTAGGTATGTCTATGAAATGGGGAGTGTATC